GTTGGGAACAGGGCACCTAGTGCTGGGACCAGTTCCTGCCTGCCCAGAATACAGCTGTTTGTAGGGTGCCCAAATCCTGCCAGTCCAGAACGTAGATGGAGTTCTGGATGGCTACAGCTCCATTCAAAAAGGGGTGTAGGGTACAAGGGTAACGAGGGGAATATAGGACCTTTCTAGTCATCAGCCTCCTTTGTGATTGCCCATGCTGTTATCAGCAAGCAGAGCCTATTCTTAGATTGCTGCTCGGATCAGTATACCACTTGCAAATATTCAAAATGGCTACACTGTCAGGACAGCCAACAGTTAGCTCTGTTTGTCTCCTTATTTGCTGTTTTCCTTTCTAGTTATCAGGCACCAGTGCAGTTGGTCATGCAGTTTTTGGCAAGCAGAGCTGATTCTTAGGCTGCTACTTGGATCAGAACACCACTTGTAAATATTCAAATTGACCATGCTGTCAAGACAGCTGACAGTCTGCAGCTCTGTTTGTCTCTTTATTCACTGTTTTCCCTTGGGTTCTTCTATTAGTTGGTATTTAATCCACTTCTTTATCCTTTCTTTCAAAGTTCAGGGTTCCAGGATTGTCTTCTTTATCTGTTTCAATTGGTTTCTAATTTCTTTGTTGTAGAAAGTCTGTGTAGCTTGTCTGCCTATTCTGCCATCTTGCTGGAGGTTCTCTGAAGCATGTGTATTTTAACATGTTATGATAGAATCTATCAATTCCTATTTTTCTAAGTTTTTTTTTTAAATGAAGAATGTATGTTAATCCTTTTCTTAGCATCAAGGAGATAAGTGTATAATACTTCCTTTAGACATATTAAAATGGTAAATTTTAAAAATGAGTTTCCTAGTAATGAGTCATCCTTGCAATCCTTTTGTTGTTTATATATATATATATATATATATATATATATTTAAAATTTTTATTGTGATTTGGGTAAACCTTTACAGAACAAATTCATTTTCCATAAAGTAGTTCAAACACATTTTATCTCATGACACTGACTGCAATTCCCCACAGTGTAACAGCTCTCTTCCCATTTCCTCCCTGTAGTTACTTCTTCCCTGTGTGCTCCTGAGCTATCTCCCTTACAAGCACTACCCTTCTGTTCTCCCATGACTGATCATTCCAAAGAGCGTATCTGCCTGATGTAATTGTTCACCTCATATACCTGTCTATTGTTTGGCTGGAACCCACAGGAGTGAGTTCATTCCAGACCTGAAGGTAACTAGGGCCCATAGTCTCAGAAGTCTCACCAGGCTCTATCAGACTAGCATAACGGGTCCTTTTTTTAAAAAAAAAAAAAATGATTTTGAGTTTTGTTCCACATTATTCTCCCACTCTATCCAGGATCTCCTGCACTGATCCCCCTCTGAGCTGGGCACCATCCACTTGTTCTTGGTATATTTTTTTCAGGTAGTATTGAATTCTTTTTGTTAATATTTTATATAATATTTTTGCATTGATCTTTATAATTAATATTGGTTTGTGTATTAGTTTCCTAGTACAACTATAAGGAAAGGAAGCAGGAGCAGTGGCAGGCCAGAACTGCTAGGGGAAGCCAGGAAAGGAGGCAAGAGCCAGTGGTGGGATGGAACAGCTAGGGGAGGCTGGGAAAGGAGGCAGGAGCTGACAGTAGGCCAGAACAGCTAAGGAGGCAAAGAAGTGAGTCAAACAGTTTGGAACAACTAAGAGAGACAAACTTGTCTGTCAGTTTGTCATACTATGGTGGCTTGCATTTCGCTGTGAGGCTGAAGGCTATGCCACTGGTGTTTCATATGACAATAGGGTTACCCATGGTGGAGCTGTTTCATCAGATCTTCCAGACTAAGAGAGTCTTGGAAGAAGGAAGAGGCATATACTTCTCAAAGAATTGGCCAGTGACAATAAATAGCAACAGCAGTGAAACATTGTCTGATATGTTACTGGAAAACTTTATGAATAGCCCTGAAGCATTGTCTAATATACTGCTGGAAGATGATCTCCTCAGGTAGGAAGGCACTCAAAATATGACTGGGAAAGAGCTGCCTTTTCAGAATAGAGCTGATCTTAATCATGTGGATAGAGTAAAGTTTTCAGGACCTCCACTTGCTAATGTGGCATGACACAAAATGAGAATAAACAGCTGCAAAAATCCATTAATAATCAGAACAAGGAATGTACAATGCATGAATCTAGGAAAATTGGAAGTTGTAAAAAAAAAAAAAATGAAATGGAATGCATAAAGATTGATGACCTAGGCATTAGTGAGCTGATATGGACTGGTTTTGGCCATTTTGAATCAGACAACTATATGATCTACTATGTCAGAAATGACCAATTGAAGAGGAATGACATGGCATTCATCATCACTAAGAATGTATCAAGATCTATCCTGAAGCACAATGCTGTCTGTGATGGAATAATACCCATGCGCCTACAAGGAAGACCAGTTAATACTATTATTATTCAAATTTACGCACCAACCACCAGAGCTAAAAATGAGGAAATTGAAGATTTTTACCAACTTTTGCAGTCTGAGATTTACCAAACATGCATTCAAGATGTGTTGATTATAAATGATGGTTGGAATACAAAAGCTGGAAACAAAGACAAATCACTCTTAATTGGAAAATATGGCATTAGTGATAGAAATAATGTTGGAGATGGTATGATAGAATTTTACAAGACCAGTAAAATTTAAAATTTGGTAAAGTGGTGGGTCAATGAAAGAGGGCAAGGCCCTCAAGAAGATTGATTGACACAGTGGCTGCAATGATGGACTCAGATATAGCAGGGATTATGAGGCTGCCACAGGACTGGGCAATGTTCCATTCTGTTGTACATAAGGTCGCCATGAGTTGGAGGCAACTTCACTTCACCTAACAACAACAACAAACACCATTCTCACAATCTTTGCTATGCTTGAGCTCATTTTTGTAGCCACTGTTTCAAATCTTCTCATTAGAAGTCTTCCCCTTTTTCACTGATCCTCTACCAAGAATGATACTCTTCTCCAGGGACTGGACCCTTTTGACACCATGACCGAAGTTCATGAGACAAAGTCTGGCCCTTCTCACTTCTAAGGAGCACTCTAGCTATAGTTCTTCCAAGACAGATTTGTTCATTATTCTAGTAGGCCATGATATGTTCAGTATTCTTCACTAACACCACAATTCAAATGCATCAGTTCTTCTTCAGTCTTCTTTATTCATTGTCCTGCTTTTTTTTTTTTCTTACTGTATTGTACATGGTGACTTCTCCTCTGAAATTAATTCTATAGAGGATGTGGATAGATCACATAGAGTGATCATCACCTTACTTGTTCACTCTCTAGTAAGTATACTGACATCCCTCCATCCCCATTCTTCTCAAACACACTTTTTTTTTTTTTTTTAACAGAGAGTTGAGGAAGAAAGGAACTGACCAATAAATCCTATACCCTGAATCACAGCTTTTTTTCCATTCTATCCTACTGCCTATCTGGATCCTAGGCTCAGTTAAGTCATATTGTGAAATATTTTGAAATCCTGGAGTAACCTGTGTGGTATATCAATCGCACCAATTTTCAGTTGCACCACTATGATTTTTGGTATCTATGAATGCTTACTTCCCAATTTCCCATACAGGTCTGCATCATCATTGATTCCCTGATTCATGTTTATAAATGATTAACAAAAAATCTAGTGAGCATTTCAAGGATACACCAATGTACAAGCTCTAGTACTTGCTCAAAATGAGTGTGTAATGTAGCAATGGGAATGAGACATGCATGTAGATATATATAATACAAGGAAGCATATGATGGGATCAAAATGAGTCACATAACCAAACACCAACACTTTGTTCAAACTACCTCTAAAATGAAACTAACAGCTAAGAAAAATATTTCAAGTTTATCAGTTTACCTCAAGTACTCACTGGCACCAAAATGCCTTCCTTTAGGGATTCACATACCTCAAATTGAGAGTCATAATGTTGAGTGCCTGATGTATGTCACTTGAAAGCAATTATAAAATGGGTTGAAGGACATACAAAATCATTAAAGTTTTGAGAAATCGAGGGAATTTTTCAGCAATGGAAGGATCAGAGAAGAAAAGAAGGAAAGAGGAAGAGGGAGATAAATTTGAAATGGAAAATGAAGTTGTAAGTGTATCCTGAAGCCAATTTATATTCTAAAAAAATATATAAGGCACTTCATTTAAAGGTAGATGTTTGTATTTATTCTAGCTATTGTAGCCTCTTCAATATTTCCTGTAAAGATTGGCCGAGAGGATGTAATCAATGATTTAAGAGGATTATATTGCTCTTTTGGCAATAAAAGGCTGGACAGAGACAGAAGAGAAAGAAAGTGAGGGGAGGCAACTATAGAAGAAATAACCACGTACTTATGAGAAAATAATAAATAAGTATGTTAGTGTAGTGTGAGGCTCCATGAAATTATTTTTAGTTTGAACAGAAGAACATTCTACTGTGGGGCATCTTCCAAATTTTAAATTAGGGGTAGATGACAGAAGGCAACCAATATTTGAGCATTATTAAATTGATCCTGTGTGCAGGATAGAAATATGCAGGGAGAAACAGGAAACAGTGAGATCCACCATGTGGCTATTGTTATGTTCAACCTAAGAGTTGGTCAGTGTCAGGACCATGTCAGAAAGGAATTGGTGATGAGAACAAAGTACTGACTAGCCATGGGAATGGAAGATAGTGAGAAAGGAGAAAAATGAGCGACAAGATGGCCAGTTAAGGGAGAGGGATTAAAGACTCTGACCCCTGATGATTTATGAGTACTCTCTGGACATCAAGAAAAAGAAGGTAGGAACTGGGCTGTAGGGTCTTTATGATTTATGAGCACATGTCAGCCTCATATTTTAAAATGTGATCAGATATGTGAATATTACTAATAAGAAAAATAGCCAGGGGTGGGTTATTGTACCTATCTGAGTCTCACTTTCCCTGTTTGAAAAATGAGGAAATATATGATTTCCAAGAGCCCTCTCAACAATAAAATTTTCTAATTCTAGAGTCTTGACAAAACTAATCTCCTGATAATTAGTTTTCTTAGGGCTCTCTTCATGTCAGAATTCCTCAAGCTATATATGAAGGGATTGACCAGGGGTGTCACCACTGTGAAAATGACTGTGGCCACTGTGTCCTGTACTGAATAGGAGGATGAAGGGCGCATATAAATCCCAAGGATTGCTCCATAGAAGAAGGAAACCACAGTGAGGTGAGATCCACATGTAGATAGGGCCTTTCTTATTCCCTGAATAGATGGAAATTTCAATACATTAGAGAATATATAGGCATATGAAATAGTAATACATGAAAATGGGGTAATAGACATCAATCCACCTGCGGTGGATACCATCAACTCATTGGTAAAAGTATCAGAACAAGAAAGCTTTAGAATGGCATAGGGGTCACAGAAAAAGTGGTGCACAACATTGTTGTGGGAAAATGTGAGTTGGACCATGAGGAGAGTGTGTAGGAGAGCATGCAGATTTGTAATGACCCATGGTATGGTCACCAGAAAGACACAGAGTTTGGGCCTCATGATCATGGTGTAGTGGAGTGGGGAACAGATGGCTACATAACGGTCATAGGCCATCACACTCAGGAGGAAACCATCCATGTTGATGAAAGTGATGAAGAAGTAGACCTGGATCATACATTCCACATAAGAGATAGACTCACTTCCCAACATGTGATTCACCAGCATCTTGGGGGTTGTGACTGATGAAAAGCAGATATCAACACAGGAGAGGTTGGCCAGAAAGAAATACATGGGTGTATGGAGATGTTTATCAGAGCAGATGACCAAGGTGATGAGAAAATTCCCAGTGATGGTGACCAGATACATCCATGTGAACATCCCAAAGAGAATTTCTTCCTGCTCTGGCTGCCCAGAGAGTCCCAGGAGAAAGAATTCTGTGATTCCAGTCTTGTTGTCTCTACACATGACTATAGGGAGAAAATTGGTTAAAAATAAACGTAAAGATTTAACTAATTTGGCACCATCAATTGTTTACAGATTCTAATTTCTTAATGACATCAGATTCAAGGTTTGTTTCTTAATTAATATCATTTGTAATATAAAATAAAAGACTGATATGTCATTATTTGAGCAAATTTTTATGGGACTATTTTTGTCATTGAAAATTAACTCACATTTGATAATTTGTGGAGTTAGTTTTACTGAAACAAATAACTGGTTAATTTCCACAGTATTTAATTATCTTTTGTTATATACAGCTTACCTCAAACTTCACTAACATTTACTGAGTATCTGGTATGTACAAAATATTTTCACATACACTATATCTTTTGAGCCTGTGAATGAATTGCATCATTCCTAGATGAGGAAAAAGATGAGGAATCAGAGATGAAGAAATTGAGACTCAGAGAGATAAGGTGATATAGCCAAATTAACAAGGTCAGTAACATTTACAGTTCTAAAGCAGCTAACATGTTCTTTTATTTAAATTCCTCCCTAACTTACCCTAGACTTTGATTACATGCCATTTATTGAGAATGCAGCCATGCCAGACACTATGTTCTTGCTTTCTGTTCATTTTTAAATTTTATTCTTATTAAAATCTTCAAATTAGAAATGATTAGCCTCATTTAACAGAAAGAAAACCTGAAGCAGAGATTTAGCAATTGGTGCCAGGTAAGTGTTATCCTTGGGCAAATGCTGCCTGTTTGATCTCTTATGGTTGATTGTTCTAAAAAGTGCATACCTCCCTAGTGTTATAGTTCACATTGTAGACCTGTTTATTGTTTGGCTGAAAGCTGAATCAGGGGGCTGAGTTCAGTTCCAGGCTTGACTTGAAAGATAACTAAAGACCATAGTCTGGGAGGTTCCACCAAATTCTATCAGATCAGTCCTGGTGTTTTTAATGATTTGGAGTTTTGTTCCACGTTTTTCTCCCTGTACAGCACCTCTTACTTATTATGATCTTTTTCAGAGTGGTCAGCAGTGATATCTGGGCACCATCTAGTTCTTTTGGTCTCATGGACATAGGGACTGGAGTTCACATAGTCCATTAGTCCTTTGGATTGTTTCTCTGTGTCTTTGATTTTCTATACTCTTCTTTGCTCCAGGCAGGGGGAGACCAATAGTTGCCCCTTAGATGGCTGCTCACAAGCTTTTAAGATGCTGGTTGCTACTCACCAAAGTAGGATATACAACATAGTCCTTGTGGGCTATGTTATGCCAATTGACCTTGATGTCTCCTGAGAATCTGGTCCTGACTCCCCCAGCCTCAATGACTCATTCTCTCAAAGTGTTTGGTTATGGCTGAAAAGTTTTCATAATTTGCCCCCTATATGCTCTATTATATTCATGGATATATTTGCAGCATATATAGATACAAATGTGGAAATATCCTCTGTCAAACCTATATATATTCTTGAATACAGTCCCATACGCCTTCCCACACCTGGTCAGTTTGTGTCCTTCTCTGTGTATCCATTTGTAGATTCTTGTTGCTACTGTTACTGCAGGATTGTGTATGTTATAGCACATACTTTTGTTGCCTTTAATTCTTGTGGTTCTCCCAGTGTCTTCCTTTGCCTTGATCATTTTGATACAACCTCCCCCTTATTGCAGCTCATATTATTAATGGATTTCTTAAATCAATACAGGCAGATGGAATAGCCCTGGAAAAATTCACTGTACTTGGATATCAAATAGAAGAGGAGATGGTGTTCCTGTTAAGAGCTATGACTTGGTATAAAGAGAAGGAGGAAGGGGGAGGATAATGACAAGCACAGTAGCTTGACTGGCTGGGGCAGAGGAGGTTTTAGGCAATACTTTCAGGAGATGGGTTGTAGAAGGTACATAATACGGGATTAGTGAAGTGTCCTAGCAATTTGAAGGCTTAGTTAGTAAAATCAAGGTAAAATCGCTGAGATCTGAAGTCATTTTTTGCACAAGCTATCTCACAGACTAAAGGGTTGAAAGCTACACTAGACAGTAGCCAAATCTATTGGAAGAAGGTAGTCCAGCAGAAAGATGATTAACATAAAAAGTAGCCTCTCTCTGAAACACCTCTATTATGAAAACACATATTACATAGGGAAGCAACTGGTAGAAAAGTAGAGATTAGGGGCAGAATACAAAGGTCTTGAATGTCTAACAGAAGCATTTCTTGAATGAAGTCAGAGAAAGGGGCATGGAAGGGAGGAGGTGTGTTTTGACTTTGACATTTTGGCCAGATTTTCTAGAAGCCTGAAGTCATTGATACTGACATTGCCAACCCTACTTCCTTTCTTCCTTTTCCAATGCTTACTATTTCCATCTGGGAAACACATTTATTCCATTCTGCAATGATCAAGCAGCACATCCTGAAAAGTGAAAGGCTTGTGCAGGTCAAAGCATGAAATGTTTCTGTCTTTGAACTTGGTAAGAAGTGGAGGGGTGTAGTGTGTCTGTTCTCCAAATATAAACCTATGTGCTTTTGTCCATGGGAATCTTTCTGATGTTGGAGATAACCATGCCCTCACCTGCTTTCACAGCCCTTCTTACCTGGCTGATTTCTGCTGCTCTCAAGTGCTTTCAGGGAATCTCTGTCTCTGTTGGCTCTGTGCTTTCCCTGGATGACAGCAAATTCACAGCTAAGGCTGAGGATTGAGAGACTTTTGCTCACTGGAGGGGAACATTCAGAGTTAGACACTGTGACTCTCTTGCACTAAATTTAGATGATTGGGAGCAAATAAATAATTCCCCATCCCTTGAGATCAGGAATTTTCATGGGAATAATATCAGCAATACTTGCCAAATTTGGGAGCCCCTAGAGTTGATCCCCCACAGCTCCTCATTAGAGGCACACAAACACTAACAGTTTTTTGTTCCTTTCCTCTTTACAAAAATAACTCAGGGTTAGGGCAACTCAGTGTAGTGCATAGACTTGTTGCTAAAGCTTGTACACTCACTTCTCATTTTCTGGGTTTGTTTCTCCATCTGTGAAATAAGGAGTAGAAGAAGGAAGGCAAAGTTCATGTTTTCCAAGATTCTAATAATTTATGAATCCATCATTCTATAACATACCCAGCATTATTCATTTTAGCAAATATAAACTTATGAAATATTTATAAAAACCGAGTCCTATTCCCAGTGCAGAAAATGCCACATATTTCTAAATAATATGTCTATAATGCTATTTCTTGATTATAAATTTGCAATCTTATCCACTCTTCCCAGTATGACTGTAATACCTTTACACCATCTTACTATTCCAATTCATTTCCCTCAAATCTTCCTAATATATCACAATTTCACAACTTTGTACCAAATGATTATTTATAATTGACATTATTCTGACACTGTATTGCTGGAGCAAATAGTGCACTAATGTTACTATTTCTTGTAAAAGTTTGGATGTTTCTGAAGTTAATGATTGTTTGACTTTTTATTGGCTTAATTTTTACATCTTTGTAATTAATCCTTCTGTGTTAGGCTAGGTTCTCTAGAGAACCAAAACCAGTAAAGCTGGTATACATACATACAGAAATTTATCTTAGGAAAATGGCTCACACACTTATAGAAGCTGGCAAGTCCAAAGATCTTGGATCAAACATCAAGCTGGAGGATTTTCCCCAACTCATGCAGGTGCAGGGGCTGACAAGCTCTAGGTTGGCAGGCAGTATACAAGCTGTTGACTCCAACAAATGATGAATCCAAGATCACCAGGCCAAATGGTGGATTGTTCATGGACATTTGCAGGCAGTACAATAGGATTCTGATCCACAGAAGAGTGTCTCTTTTCCCAGGATGTCCATAAATATGTTGGAAGCAGACCACACCCCTAGGGAAACTCCCTATCAATGCTCAAAACATATACATCTGATCTCATCATAGGAATAACCCACATCACATCTGCTTAAACCACTCAGAAATGTGGTCCAACCAAGTTGACACACAGTTCCAACTATCAGAGTTCACCCCTTGTCAACTTGGCAGTTGTACATTTCTCCTTAATCATATATAATCTCTAAATAAGGACATCTATAAAGTCATATTTGTGGCTAACATGATACACTAACACATGTACATCCAAAACACATTAATCCTGTTTATAATTCATAGCTCCTAACAGAAGGAAACAAAATACTTGATGTACATATACAATGAAGAAATGTAACAATCACAGTCCTCATTTCTGCAACTGATCACATGGTTGTAGCTGATATTCAGAACTACCTTCTTCCACCACCCATTCTGTATTTCCCTCGCCCTTAGCAAGCACTTCAGTGGGTCATGGTTCTTTGCCTGATGGGGTGACCCAAACCTTCATTCCTGAAGGGTCTGGGTCATTAGCAGACATATCAGAATTGGATTGCTATAATTTTCTACTGACTTTAATCACAAGGGCATGGTAGTACTAAGAGACATTTACCTCCATGATGTAATGTCAATCCAATTTCTCCTTGATAATCAGGATCTATCACACCAGATAGTACAGTAATGCCCTTCTTTGTCTGTTGATCCAGAGGCATGAGGAAGCCAAAATGGCCAGGTGGCATTCTTAACTTCCAGTTCAATGCAATTAGTATTGTGTCTCTAGATGGGAGAGTCCCTCCTTTTGGAACTAAGATCTCCAGACCCACAGAGCATAGGGCAGCAGGGACAGGAAGCAAAAATATTTTGAGTAGGTCACTAGGGATAACAGTCAGTGGTACCACTCCCATTTCCACCCCTTGATTCCTGGACCCGTGAATCCTGGCTATTGGAGAACAAGCATCGTATATTGGATACTGATTTAGAGCATATGCAACCTCCAGGAGAGAGAAATTTATCTTAGGAAAATGGCTCACACACTTATAGAAGCTGGTAAGTTCAACATTCTTGGATCAAAAGTCAAGCTGGAGGCTTTTCCCTGCTCATGCAGCTGAAGGGGCTGAGAAGCTCAAGGTTGGCAGGCAATATACGGGCTGTTGACTCCAAAGAATGACGAA